AATTATTCCTAGGTATAAACATGTTTCATGCTTAGAATATTGGAAGGTAAGAATACAAAGCAAAAACTACAATTTGGTGGCCTGTCAACTGTTACATGATTTGGAACCACATGAATATTACGGAGAAAAGATCATTGCATCTAGAGGGATAATGCATCCACTTTGAGGTTAATGTTTATTTCTCTTTTTTGGGGGGGGGGGGTGGTTTAATTTCATGGAAATGATTTTTTTTTTCTGAATAAGGTGGTATTCTCCATGCTATTGATAGTACTTCTAGTCTCTGTGGCTTGGGCCTTGCCTTCCTCAAGCACCTTTGGATGCTAATTGAGCCCGTACTCATGCATCCCGTTAACTACTTCAACCACTTGTCCGGTCTCTTCGGCGTAAAATGCAACCGCATTGCCGTCCTCCCTAACAATGATTCTACACCACCAAAAACTTCCGCACCGTCTCATTGCCAAATTGTGTCATGGAGACCCACCCCAAAATGAGGATCATGTGGCTGACTAACAATATCATGCCCCCATAACCAGGAAGGACATGAGTGTCCCAACAACCATGGAGTGGCCCATGCTTGCTCCTCGAAGTTCTCCGGAAATACAGGGCGCATCAACACAAGGAGTCTGCTTCTACATAGCATAGGTCTTCTGTATTAGTCATGTACAAACCGACAAGGACTCTAGACCACCCCCAGATTGACCCGTGGTCTATAAACCTAGCCTCGTCCATACATATATAAGATATGAAAGGGACCCTCTGATCGACACCTTCACCTTATGACACAATACACAATATCTGATCTTACGACCGAGCACCTCTTGTACACACAAACCTTAGTTTTCCTAAAAGGCTAAATCCACCAATATAGTCAAACATGAAGTGGGGTCTTACCTTGATTCGAGGGCCCGAACCTAGGTAAATCTTCCTCGTGTGCACCATCCGAATCCCCAGTGTGCATCTAAAAGAATGTTTGTAGCTTGGAGTTGGTTTACTGTTGCTTCAAACAGTGAGCGCCCCACCATTATCCCCATGGTGGACTGACATAAGTCCTTCAACTCTGTCAGTTGGCAAGAACTTAACCACTCATTCTTACTATCAAGGATTTGCACGGTGATGATGACAATTGATTGACAACCTAAACATTACAAGCCTCTCTACCATGATGCTTAATTGCATCCTCGGGGAAGAGGGTCTTGCATCCTCTATTCCCATTGTTCCCTTCGTTCTCTCCACTATGGTTACCACCATGTCGTGGGGCACCAGGGAAAGCCGCAACACCATGTTTTTCTGTAGCAAGGCTTTCAACTAGCAATTGTTGTCAGGAACATCATCACTGGACTAGAAATGCAACCTAGAATTCTGGGATGCATGTTTTTTTTTGTCCATTGTAATGTTGATTTGGTTGCACTCCTCTACACCCCTTTCGAGCATCTCTAGTAGCTCTCGTTTCTCTAATAAATTTCCCGTATCAGGGATTCGGGACAAAAATTGCTCATTGTTGAAGAGAGAAAATGAAAGTTCACTTGTTGGGCACCTGAGCCCCCTATTCATAAATTCACTTATGCGACATGCAATTAACAAGGTGTGGTGCGTTTGAATGACATGTTATTTGAATAACTTGCTGTTATGTCACGATTCTCAGCTTTCCAAAATAGGAGACAACTATGGAAAAGATCACCCGCTGACAAATGGGCCCTGCATGCGTTGGGGGTCTATTGCACCACCTCCCCCAATAACCCAAAAAATGTTATTAGCGCAACCCGAATATACCCTATTGGGGATGGATTATTGGGAACTGATGGAGATGCCCTTACCTACTACCATGTATTTGTAACCCTAATGGCTGCATAATGGTCTTAATGAGTGTGCTACATATGTGCAGATTTTTGTCTTAATGAGTAGTATAATTTGTATTTTACTCCCTCTGTATGATCTAAACGCTCTTATATTTATTAACGAGGGAGTACTATTCAGGCGATATAAGTTCGGGTCTAGAATGCCACTTTCGAAAAAGAACATGTGACACTTAATTCGCTGGACAGTACTAGAAGAGAAATAAATACACTAAAGACTTCTAATACTGCTTAGGCTAGCCATAGTGAGAGTAACTTAGGTAGTAACATAGCACATCCCAAGAAAAAATTGCTTATGTGGCATGGAGTTAATGAGGAAAGAGATGCCTTGTGGTAACATAATATGTTACTGTAACATAACACACCCCGAGGTAAAATGAGTCTATATATCAATTAATGAAGGCTTGCATGTTACCATCCATATGTTACTACCCACTATGAAGATAGTAACATAGACTAGTAACAAATGCATGTTACTAGTCTAAGTTACTTCCCACTAGGACCAGCCTTAGAGTGAACTGCTTAGGCTGGTCATAGTGGGAGTAACATAGATAGTAACATAGATGCCACATAAACAAAAATATTGATGCGGCAAGTAGTTAATGAGGAGAGAGGCAAATAGAGTAACCTAATATGTTTAACATCACATAGCGCTTTCCAATGCAAAATGAGTCTACAATACAATAAATGAACATGTGTATGTTACTACACATATGACACTTCGCACTATAAGGGTAGTAACATAGAGTAGTAACGTATGCATGTTACTATTCTAAGTTACTCCCCACTATAATGAGCGTGAACTTCGAGTCATAGTAAGATGTAAGACTTCTAATACTGCTTAGAGTGAACTGCTTAGAGTGAACTTCGAGTCATAGTAACGTACCATGATCATGGCCTTGACGTTGTCGCGGGTGAAGGGGAGGGCGTTCTCGCTGTCCTTCCCTTTGGATAGGTTCGCCTCGGCGAGGAAAGCGAGCAGGCCATCTACCAAGTCGGCGTCAGCATCGGCGGGGTTCTTCCCTCTCCTCACGTGGTCATCAATTATCTTGTCGGTAAACTTGTCGAGGGCGCTGCGCGCTGCGTGGAGGCGGCGGTTGAAGCCCAGCCGGGCCGTCCAGCGGAGCCACGGGAAGTAGTCGCCGACGTGGAACTCGCCTAAGACCTTGGAGAACACCCGGAGGATGACGATGAACTCGTCCAGTTCTTCGTCGCCGGCGCTGAAGGCAGCGCGGAAGATGACGCCGACGGTGTGCTTGAAGATGAGCTCGCCTAGGTTCACGGCCTGGCCGCTGCGCCTGCCAACGTCGCGGGCCAGCGCCCTGTACCCGTCGCGCACGGCGAGCCACGTCTCGGCGCGGCGCCGGCTGAAGAGGTTCGTGGCGCAGAGCTTGCGCATGGCGCGCACGTGGGCGCCGCTGTGGGCGAACGCCAGGTCGGAGCGGCCGTTCAAGAAAACTTTGAGACGGGGAGGCCACAATCTCAAATAGCATGGGATCAAATTTATATTCGCGCGCTCTAAGGGGTGCCCCCCTCTCGGTCCCAACCGGAAACATCCATGCCCCCTGACCGGATGACTGGCTTTAATCCAGGGCCATGGAACCCTCATCACGGCCTGTCTATTTGGTGTGTACGAGGAAAGTGGTTTGCAACTTACTAAACCATATTCTTTGCAGAAGACATGTGGTAGCACAAAAAGGAATGGATGGTAACGTGACTTGATCCACGTTGACATTGGAGTTAAATGGTTTGGCATAAGACTGGCATGCTTCAACACGGACGATACTTGCCTGCTCCCTTCCCATGCTCCCATCCGTGCTCCCGCATACGTGGCTTGATTTGATTGGAAGAAAATAAGACCCGTCCCCACCCCCTGAAAATCAGGGGGGAGATGATTAGATTAGAAAAGAAAAAGGGGAAAAGACAGCCGTAGGATGAAGTGGGAGCACGGATGGGAGCATGGAAAGGGAGCAGGCAAGCCGGATCCCTTCAACACTGCCATCTTACCACCTCTCATGTCACCACATGATCATGTAAACTCACATCAAATAACATATGGAGTTTTCGAAGCTCACTTGCATCAGCTTTGCATGCAATATAACACTTACTGCTATGCATATAAACATGCCATGAACTAACTA